TATATAAAAATACACATTTTTTTTTAGGAATAAACTCGTTGATTAAGAATGTTTCGATTTAAGCAAAATCAAACAACAATGTCGAAGAAAAAAACTACCAAAATTTACACTACAAATAATAATCTATTGGAATATTAATTCGATCGATATAAATTGATAAATATCTTCCACAAAAAAGAAATGGTACTTTCCTAATTTCGTATAAAATTAATAAAACAACATTGATTCTTCGAAAAAAAATTGCATCATAGTAACAACAACGGGAGCGAGATATGATTCACAGATCGAGCACTTTAATCTAGATTAAACACTACAAATCCACGAGCGTTATTCCAACCGAGTTAAGACAATCCAGATTCCGGAACAAACAAACCCTAACCAAACCGAACGCCACTGCCTTCCATCAAGACATCGACTTACCGCGCGAATCCTCCTCGCTCCTTCTCGGCCTGACGGAAGTGCAACGAGGTCGTCCAACGTAAAAAAAAAAAAAAAAAGAAAAAGAAAGGAGAAAAAAGAAGAAAAAAAAAAATAAATGGCGAAACTGGAGGCTTTTGCGACAACGTGAAGGCGAGACAAGTAGCAGGTGGCTAATGTCGGGAGTGGCGTCGTGAAGGAGAAGAGGAACGTGTGTACACAGGCCTTGCTTACAGGCTGGCGAACGAGCTAGATAACGCACGTCTCGCGCCGACAATGGGCTCATACGAGCGCCTCTTTTAATTAAGTGGAGTCAGCTCGAAGCCGGGGGGAGAAAAAAATTTATTCACCGGGAATTATATTGGTTCGTGTACTCGAAGGGTGAAAAACAGGGGGGAGAGCGGTTTTAACGGGAGTGGTCCTTCGTAATAAATGCGAGCCCACCCCCACTGGAAAGGCTTTTGTCTTTTTCTCTAATGATCCGATGAGGAGATTAGCTGCGTCCCTCCGCTAAATTCTCTATGGTTGGTATTCTATGTTTTTTATTTTTCGTAGTTTCTTTTTTTTTTTNTTTTTTTTTTTTTTTTTTTTTTTGGTAAAAGAATACGGTTCGGTAAATGGATATTTTTTTTTTCTTCTTCTTTTTGAGGAAGGATGGCAGAAAAAGGAATAATTTATATGGAAATAAAAAATTCTAGTATCTTGTCCGAGTTTGTTATATATGCACGTAATTTTTACCTCTTTTTCTTTTTATTTCGAATAATTTTTTTGTTTCTCTATTTTTTTTTTGTTTTTCTTTTTGAAAATGACGGTATAGAGAAATATATTCGTACCTCGTGGAAATAAAATTCTAGTCTTATCTGAGTTTGTAATTTTTATCCCTTTTGAATAATTTTTTGTATCATCTTTTTTTTTTTTTAAAAGATAGTAGAAAAATATTCGTATTTTATGGAAATAAAATTCTAGTATCTTACGAGTTTGTTTGTAATTTTTCTCTCTTTTTGAATAAATTTTTTTCCAAAAGACTGGTGGAAAGAATACACGAATAGAAAAATTCTCCAGTATCTCGACCAAGTTTGTTTGTAATTTTTTCATTACCTTTTCATGCAGTATACTTTACAGTAGAATAAATTTGAATTTCTCGTAGTCATATTTCACGTATCCGGTGAAATGATTTATTTTATATTTCTTTATAACGACTAGAGAAAAAAAAAAAAAGAAGGAAGAAAAATTGAAAATATAAAATTCTTTTAATTCGCTCACCAAATATTCGATTTTGCGAAGAAAATATTTTGCAAAACCCTTTGTCTCGCGTCTGCTCGCAAGTGAACAGTAGTGGGAACGATAATTCGAGCTTTCCTCAACGATAAATCGCGCATTCCACTAGAAACGTGGAAATTTAATTAATGTTTATTACCCGTTTTAATATAACCCAGTCTCTAATTGTAAATGTCAGAGCCATTGTACCGTGGCTGTCTTAAGATTCAACCCGTTGCTTAGAACACATTTCGAAAGCGTCTAGGGAGAATTGCACGCCATCGCCTGGCTTCCATTATTTCCCATCGTTCAACAATCTGTTAATTACTGCCCTCTGTAGGTACACTTCAGAGATGGGATCGAAGGCTCGTAGCTGTCCATTCATCCAAAGCTTGTTATTAATACACTTGCGACCACTACAGGTCACTTAGTATTTCCTTTGTTGCCGATAACAGGACGATTACTCGAGACTTAGCGATTAATTCTCGTCCAATATCGAAACATTCTATCATCTACATATATAAAATTAAATGATATTTAATTGAATTATTTGTAGAATTATTTATAGAATTAAATTGAATTTAACAACGCAAAAAAAGTATTTACAATAAGTTTTCAAGATTTCGTTCAATATGTGGTTTAAATTTTATTATTATTAACATATAAGATTGATTTTTATTTGAACAAATGAAATTTAATATAGGGAAATCAAATTTTTTATTGTTTATCCGGAATAATTTTTTTTTTCAATCTGCCCTGGATTCCATTTTAAACTTTATTAATATTTATACGCGTAATATTAATTGTTACTTGTTAATGAAATTCGATATAGGAAAATTAATTATTCTATTAATTATATTTCGATTTTATACGAATATTTGCATTTAATTTTGGATCTACCCACCCAAATTGACCCCTCATCTATTGATAAATAATCTTTAAATAACAAAGACGAATAAAAATAAATGTACAATTTTCATTCCTTTGAACTTGCGACTAGCTATTGTAATAACCTGTACATCTTTCTTTATACGAACTCAAATCTACTTTTCACTCTTGTACAATGTGCTTGCCTCGAAAACAAAAGTTACACTTTCAGGAATCAATTCCAGACACGTATGTATACATATTTCTATCCGTACAAATCTGAAACTGCAACACTTTACATCAACATACAATCTTTTTCTATAATCTTTTCCTTTTAAAATTTCCAGAATAGAAAAATGACCTCACAAACGAAGCAAAAAAAAAAAAAAAAAAATTCAAAAAAAAAAAATCTCCAGAATATATAGTACACGAGAATCGTTAAATTTCGTTAAACGAACAAGTCCTCGACATCATTTTCACGCGGAACCCATCCTCCCCAACTTTCGTTCGCATCCGTTGCTTCGTTAAATACCAATTTCACCCCATCATTTACATATTTCCTGGCCGGTACGCGTCTCATTTCATAAATTCAATGGAAAGCGAGAGCGTTGAATTCCATCGTCTCCAATTTCGCCCTCCCCTTTTCCTCTCCGCCCCGGCGGATCTCTCCTCTAACGGCGGTAATTAATTTTTTTCCCGGGGACAAAGTGGATCCGTCTTCGCGGTCTCATTACGCGGACAGAGAGTGGCGCCCTCTTTTCGCCAAAGAGGGGCCTAGACCAACCGTGGATGACAATAAATATAAAACTTTAATAATTCTCGGTATTACACCAACTGGAATTTACGCACGCGCCATTTCCCCTTTCCAAAAGTGGCCGAGTCTCCTCTCATTTTCGACGATCCATTTTTTTTTCTCTCGTCTCTCTTGTTTTTTTCTTTTCTCCTTTTCTCTTTTTCGGGCGACTCTCGAACGAATGGGTGGTCCATGGCGAACAGAGAAGTATTCTCTGTCGTTGAGAAAGATGGATAGGTACGCGTTCCTGAGAGGATGCAATGTCTTGGATAATGTCGCGTCCAATTTGGCGTCACTTAGTTATTTCTAGTTTGGCAAAGAGTAGAGTTAACTCGGACTGACGTAGTTCATTTTCATCGGAATGAAAATCGTTTGAAAGATTTATTTGTTACAATTCCGTTCTATGCTATTTGCAATAATCTGGAGCATTTTTTTTTTTTAGATTTATTTTAAAATCTTTAAAATATTCGTAATAACATTCGAAGATTCGAAGAATTATCCTTATTTTCCTTTCTTCACTTTCACGCGTGTCCATCGCGTGTTTACTTTTAATTCCAATAAACTCGACATACGTCTTATCACAATTAAAACGTCCTATGAGAAATATATTCGTTACGCGGCTCCCGGCTATTTATCGAGGATACCTCTTTTCCTCCCCGTCTTCGATCATCGATGGCGCAATCCCACTTGCCCTTTTGCCCGGTCCAAAGAAAATATTTGACCAGCCTCCCCCTCCCCCTTTCTCCATCCCGTCACATCTTCCATCACGCGTCTAACACGGCTAAGACGGTTCTCCATGATTGCTCAAAAGCCTTCCTCGTCGTCGAACGCACCTTCCTCGCGAAAAGGAAGGGGAGGGGAGAGCAAATAGCCTCGCGCTATTCGCTTTATTAGACTCGAAATGAATCCGCGACTCGAGAAGAAAAAAAAAAAAAAAAGAAAAGAAAAGAAATCTCGTAACTCTAGATGAAACGGGATCATCGTGTTGATCCTGTTTGGCGAATTGCTGGTTTCGAATTAAAGCCGATAGATAACGAGGTCGATGTTTCGATCGAAAGTCGCCAAGCTCTCGAATTGTTTTAACCAATTCTTTTAACGATTTTCTTTTTCGTTTTTTTCCTCTTTTTTTTTCCTCCTCCTCCTCCTCCTCCTCTTCTTCTTTTTATTCGATCTGAAAGAAGAGCTCTCGGCGAGACAGTGTGTAGTAACAGCGTGAAATCGAGTACTCAGAGTAAAAAAAAAAAGAAAGAAAGAAAGAAAGAAAGAAAGAAAGGGGAGGAGAAATAAATGCGGTTTGTTTGTAAGGATTTTAAACGAGACTTGGCTAATGTAAACTTTCGAACGGAAAGTAATTCGAAAGTTTTAAACGATGGATTCAGCCGTCTGATTGAATTCCACGGTTCCGCGCTGTTTGCACGATCCTTTATTTATGCTGCGTGTGTTTATGCCGCGATTTCGCTTGGAATTATATTTTGGAAAATTGGAAAGAGAAGACGCGTGGACGGATGGATAATTTTCTGTTGAGCAAAGTATCGAATAAAATAATTATATTTAAATATTCGAGCACTCGTGTTGAGAGTTAATATCGTTACGATAACAATTCTGTGTGACTTGTAAAGAGCGGAGAAGATATTGAATAAAAATAAGGGAGAGAAGTTTATCTTACCTTCAAGTCGCCGTGTTGATCGTAAAACGTCGAAGGCGCGAGGGCAGCCTTCAGCCTTCGATTCCTGTAGAAAATGAACGTGATTGCCGCCAGAAGCATCACGATCACAGTGGTTAATATACCGATAACCAGGCCGACGAACTGCCTCGATTCTGGCTCCTTGCTTTTGTCTGGAACTGCAACGTCCATATACATTACTTCTCAATGATAAATAAAACTTCTATCAATATTAATTGCGAAATCGATCTATGATATTATACCGTATTAAAAATAAAGATCGATACCTCTCTTCGACAATGATCCTATTCAAATTATATTCAATATACTTATTTATTTCGAATACATTATTGAAGATAAGCATACCTCTGTTCGAAAAACAATTCAATTGACGCGAAATTGACGAAACGAAACTTTTCTTGAGATAAAATAAGATAAAATAAAACATCGCTTCAATTGGATTAACATTGGAGACATTTGTATCGAGACAAATCACCATTTCCCGCGTAATCATTTCACATCATCATTCCCCATTACCTTTCACGCTTCCAATGTCATGTAATAAGATCTTATTCTCCATAGTAATCAATCGATGCGAGTTAACGAAGAAGAGCAAAACGTTCTTCGCGCGCGTCCGATTTTCGATGCGTTTACGAACAACGTGGAAACGTTTACGGCGTTGCACGCGTGTACCGCATAATGCGGGAAAGTACACGACCTATCACGCTGGATATTATCGCGAAGGCAGCCTCGCATAACGCGCGATGCCTCGATAATGATGATTGCGTTCACCGTGCTCCCTCGTAATTGGATCACGATCAATCGCCGCTTTATCGATCGATTTGCTTTTATTGCGGGATCGAATGTCCACCGTCTGTCGTTTTCGATGTCATTCAACGATGTGTGCCGATGATGATGGGATAACGATTGCTGGATTACGGAAATTAGAAAAATAAGAGAGAAACGAGAGAGTTAATTATTGTAGATACGCACGTTGAGTGATCGAAATAATTGTTTTTCTTTTTTTTAAGAAAATTAGAAGAAGGGAAGAAATTGAGTGGTAATTATCTAATGATTTTGATGATCTTAAAATTTTTTTCGAGTTAAACATTTTTTTTCATTTTTTTTTGTAATCAATACTATCGAAGATATTTAATTAATCATTGTTGCAAATAATCATTGTTAAAGTTCACTTAAAAATCACACAATTTTATTTTATTATTGAACGTTATCATTATTCATGTTAAATTGGTACCTATTATTATTAGTGTTCTTTCTGACATTTCAAATATATTGTAATAGGGAGACGCAATTACGTTTTATTAAACACGTATTCAATCAAATTAATGCGTTTATTTATTGTTTCCACTACCTTGTCAACAATCATTCCTGTAAAAAGCTTTTCCTATTTTTTTCTTTTTTTTTATTATCGAGCTACGAAAATTATATTTCGATTGTGACGTGAATATATATGTGTGTATTAATAGAATGTCAAGTGTATGTTTATTGAATCTCGTAGGATCTCTGTTTAAACCTCAACTGTGATCCCAAGACACGACTCGTGACATAATCAGATATCGGATCGGCTTAGCGATAATCGCACGCAATCAGCTAAAGGTCTTAACATTTATTAGGCACGTGTTACCTCGATCGGGATAACCTCCAGATCCTATATAAATTATTTCACGAAATGACATAATCTTGACGTAATCTTATCACCTAAGGAAGAAAGTGCTTTTTCATTGAAGAAACCAAGCAAACCGATTCGAACAAATAATATTTTTATTATTTCTATTGTTTCCATCCATTCGAAAGAAATTTTTCGAACTGCTTCGATTTTTATTTCGTTGTTTCTCGAAACGAAGAGAAGAGCAAACGTTATACGTCTTGTAACGCTTCTTTACCCGCTTCCTCCGCTTTTGCAAAACGGAAGTATTCATCATTTTGAAAAAAAAAAAAAAGAAGAAGAAAACTGAATCTGGAGCACGCATATTATAGATTCAAGGCTTTTAATTTTCCTTCTGGCGATGTGGCAAAGTGTTCCAGGTTGTTGTAACGGGGCAAAGGAGTTTCAGAGTTTATAATTACTTTGCGATTATTATTTCTGTTTCACCCCCCTCGTTCGAGAGATCGATCCTTCTTTCATCTTGAGCAAGTTTAACAGGTGAATGAAAGTTTAACAGTTTAATTAGGATTAATTCTTCGACAACAACAAAAGCACGAGTACTTTGTGTCCATCATCCTATTATAATTTTTAAAATTCTCATTGAAACGATTGCGTGAATGAAATTGGTGAAGAAATTATATCGCTAGAAATTCTTTTAGACCGGTCCCAAGGGGTTAAACTTTGCAGAAGAAAAAGTTTAGAGAGATTAAACTTTGGATGCAAACTCTACTTACGATCAAAATAAATAGAGCGATATATCGTCTTTAATTTTTCATTAAACAAACCAAATAGAGCCAATTTTTCTTATTTACAGAAAACATAACCTACTTTTCCTCCCCCCATAGAAATGATATTATTCAAAACTCGAGTTCAAAATTTTTCAACTTTATATTTAACTTTGTATTTTTATAAAAATACAAAACATTCTGCAAATCTTCTAATAATTCAAAAAAATTTTGCAATTACAAGTATTAAGCAATTAAAAACCAAAACCAAGTATATAATATATATCTAATTCTCACGAGCAAGAGGCAGAACCTCTGCTCCGTAAATATCTTGTTATACGTAGGTTCTGAAAGCAATCAACGGGGCCGGTAATCGAATCGCGGACGAAGAAAATATATAATTCGATTCGTTCATTGGAGAGTGGATCGAGAGAAAAGAAGCCATAACGATCAATTAAAGTTAATGCAGGGCAGGCACGGATAGCAAAGGGACGAGTTTCCAGAGCACAAAAGGGTTTCGGTTTACCGGATGGAAGAATGTCGGTCACTACCTTCGAGTTATTTCCTTTAACACTTCGTCTCAAAGTGGTCCCCCGACGATGGTAGCGGGAGGAAAGAAATTAATTAGATTTCGCCTGTTGGCGAAATGGCGAGGATGGCGAAACAAAAGGAGAAGCGTGGCTACGTTATCGGTTTACAGAGGCCAGGATGGGTATCCCTGTTCTTTTTTCCGCTTCGTTTCTTTCGAGCGAGCGATTTTTTAGAACACCTCGGTTACAGCGCATTAAAAGGAAACCGTGCAAACACTTTAGAAACGCGCGCCTTTATTCGCGCGCAATTCGAAAGCCTTTTTATCGTCGTCGCGCTCCCTTTTTGGGGAAACGAAATTTTTCAATTTGAAATTTCCCCGTGAATCGATGTATGTGCTGTGTATCGTTAAAATGATGACTCTGAAAGGGAGGGAGGGGGGAGGGGCGAGTATTGAATTGGAAAGAATTGGAAATGCGATTTATTTTGAAGAATGTTTATCTATATGTGTATAACGTTGTTTTGTAGAAGTGAAATTTGTGCAAAAGTTTCATTTTGTGCGAAGAATGGAAATTGAAAGAAGGTGAAAGAAGTTAAGGATTTATTTTAATCTCGATAATTTTTTGACGAAATAATTTTTTTTTTTTTTTTTTTGGATTTTACGAAAAACAATCGATAGTAGTTTTAAATTTTTCTCTGCATAGGATATTACTGGAACCGCTTATGATATTGAAACGTGAATTTTTATGTTCATCGTATGTTGTTGTTATAAATAAATAATTTTTTTTTTCGCAACAATGTAGCGAGTATTTATTCGCGCAATAGATTTGAAACAAAGTTTTTCACGTGGATTTATTTACACATTCATAAATTTTCACATCATTCGCATAGATATTTTATGAAACAGAAATATTTTGCGTATTAAATTTGCACGAAAGTACGATTTTAATATTTTATGTCGTTTTCCTTTCATTTGATAACTCTATTTAAACGTTTTGACATGTATAAAACAAAATGTTTTCAACGTATATAATTCTTTTATTCGAAATCCTATTAAATATCCCTCTCAAAATTATAAGTCCTACATAAAATATTTTTCCTTTTTTTTGCAATAAATTCAACAAATAATTACGAGCATACGTTAATACTTATTTCCGACATTAATTTATTTTAAAATAAAACATCAAAAATTAAATATATATTTTTAATTTTCCTTCTTGAATATAAATTATGGATAAAATAAAAAGTTAAAAATAAATTTGACAGTTGCAACACGTAAATTTTAAATTAAAATTAGTCAAAAATCAATTTCCAATTAAAAACGTAAACGTCCTGAAAATATTTCATTTTGGTTATTTCTTTACAAAATCGACAACGTTCGTTTCTCTGCATTTCGACATATTTCGAATTTGTATTGTTCGATCCGTTCCCGAACCCGTTCAGCCAACGATCAACCTCTGGTTTTAAAAATTGTTCGACGAGAAGTCGTTGAAGATCGAAATTTTATTTTATTTTTTTTGTTTCTTTCTCTTCAACAGGTCGACAGAGAGAGGATCGTTCCGCGACGAAAGATCGCGTGCACGATCGTGAATAAAAGGAACGAGAGGAATAAAAGGGAGAAAAAGCGGACGAGGGAAAGAAAAAGGTCGTTCGTGATCGGCATTCAATTTTCGAAGCTTGCAGACTCGGAAGAGCAAAAAAGTGGAAAAGTCGGAAAGGAGGGGGAGAGGAGAGAAGAGTGGAAATCACGTGGAAAATTACGAGAGGAGCCCTTCGATGCAACAATAGGAGAAAACCGACTCTGGTGGTAGACTTACGAGCATTATCGTTGTTTTCCTCCTTATTAAAAGTGGCCTTTACTTCGTCTCTCTGCAGTGGACCCTCGTTATTCTGATAGGGGATGCCGGTCGCCGATACAATGGCGCTCTTGTTCCTCGGCTCTTCATCGTCGGTGTTGTTCCATTCGGAGATTACTGCGCATCAGGGATAGAAGACTAATGAAATTTTCGCCCATCAAAGGAATCGTGAGTTTCGTTTCATCAGGAATAAGGATATTTTGAAACGAAGAGAATATCTTTTTAAAATTTTTATCGATTAAAATGTTTATTGATCGCGATTGAAAATAAATTGGTTGGAATGTGAAATTTTATAAGCATGATGGTATTTCTTCAAGATTTCTTCGCGATTAAAAAATATTCTTATACGAGATGAAAATGAGATTGATCTAAATTGGTTAATTAATTTTTCACATCATTAACATTTCTTTACCTGAAAATAAAATATTAATTCATACATTAGCCATATTGGACTTGAATCTTTATTCTTTAATTAAAATTCGAAAAAAATAGATCCTTCTATTCAAAATCTATCCATCTATTTTCAACTTGAAAACTTCTCAACTTCAAAATTCATCAATTAAATTAAATTTCAATCCGATTATAAAAGTCGTCCAAAAATATAAATTATCGAATCACATCATCATACACGAGTTCTTCTTTTTCTACAAAATAATAATCTTTACTTCAATCTGTTTCTTAAAATCAAAAAATATGATGAAAGGATTCGAGCCACGTTTGGAAAAAGTAAAATGGCGCGAATCGAGGCGGATAAGGAGGAAGGAGGAATTCGAATCGCTTCGATGGCGAGCAATCGAAGTTATTTGGAGAAAGGGAAGGGGTGGAAGAGAAGATCGAGGGAATGATTAACGACGGTTTCGATGCTCACCAAGGGAATCAAAGTTTTCGAATATGTGCGTCTGTGCCAGGTTTCGTTTCTGCTTCGCGGCCACGTGCTCCGATTCGCGCAACGTGACACGGATGTTTCCACCCACTTCCTCGACATCCGATGCCTTCGAGTCGACCGAGCAACGCGAGCGAGAAAATCGATTTTGAAATTTCAACACGAAATTTTATAAACATATTTGGGAATATTTTTTAATTAATCTGTTCAAAAGGAAGCATCAAGTGATTTTTACGCGTTGGGTTAAATGCTTTTTTTTTTGGAAATTTTGTTAATAAATTTGAGATAGTAATTATACATAGGGATTCATTTGATTTCTATATAAATTTTTGTATAATTACGTTTAAATCTGAAATAAACAAATTTTTTTGAGATATCACCAATTAACACCTAAAAAATTATCATTTCCAACAAGTATTAAATTCAACAATATCCCTTGCTATTTAAGAATAGTTTTTGATGAAAACTATTTCGTTCGTTTAAAAATAAAATTAAAATCTAATGAAAAAAAAGAAAACTAAAAATTTTGCTGTACTTCAAATACAATAAAATACAAGACTGTTGAAAGAAAAATTTTTAACGAATGAAAAATCTCGCGACACGAGACCGCCAGTCACCTTCGAAAGCACCTTCGATTTATAACGAATAAGGGTTTCTATCACGATTTCTCCGGACGAGCCACGTTCGAGAACCCATTGTCCCATCCAAGTGAACGTTCTGTTCTGACGTATCGTCGACAGCGGCTGCCCGATTATCCCTCATCTTTTCCCAACGATCCACTATCACCATCCACGTGACGGACGATGTCACCCGAAATTGGAAATCGAACGATCCACACGCGCAGAGCTCATCCGTTCCTTGATCCAAAGTGATCGCGAACACCAGGTTCGAAACGCGCGCCGGATGCGATGGAAGAAGCGTGGCAGCTTTGAAATCCTGTGTGTGAAGTTATTTCGCTCCTGATATCCCCTGCTATCACGATTCCACCGATCCCTTTCTCGTCTTATCTTCGTCACCGGCGAGATATTTTTTCCTATTTTCGCCCTCCTATCGTTTCATCCCTCGCGCGAACTCAGGGAAAGAGTGACGCGAATGAGACACTTTTTCTTCGAGATAACGTGGGGGAGAAAAGATGGATAAACGATGGTTGTAATTTGTATCGTTGGAAGGAACAGTTATTTCCTTGTATAACGATATCGATGAAATATTCGACTGGTTTTCTTTTCACAAAAAATGTATGTACTTTTTTTTTTAATTTTACCATTGTTGTTTCTTTGGACGTTATTGTTTTTTTTTTTTTTTTATTAAATTGAGCTTCACACGTTCGAAAAAGATCAAGGAACAGGATCTTGTGGGGGAACGTTATGGAATATAAAATTTTTATTCGGATAAATTCGGTTACCGTGTTTCCCTTACCCGATTCAAAGATTACTTCGCTGAGCATGATCCATCGTGCCGCAAAGTACAATTGAAGCTTAAGAAAACGGCCAGCTCGTGAGTGAAGCTTTATGGTAACGTCGCGCGCCTGTTCCAACACAAGGTCCGGTATGTAAGAGAAATGGACAGGCTCCCCGTTGAACTGATTCCCACCGGCGCCAAGATAAACCTTTGCGTAGGAGAAGACCTAAAAAAAAAAAAATGGAGCGTGCATTGAAAGGATTATAGAAATTCGATGGAAGAAGTAAAAGAAGTTGGGATGGAAAAGTTCTTCTTCCGTTGTCTCTATAATTTTTTTATTGTCTTCTTCTATCGTCTGCATATATCGATTATCGTAAATATCGTAATTGATTAGATTATTTGGATTTTATGATCGGCAATGATAAACATCGAACGATACAATTATTATCGGTTCAATGAAAAATATAATCGAACGATTTACCAGTGAATTCGAAAATTCAACGTACCTGCACATCTTTGGTGAAGTAATTGTTCATGTGCAGGTGTATGGCAGTGAAGTTTCTCGAATAATCGAACTCGAAGGTAATTTCAACGGGGCGACCGAGCATGCTTGGCGTGTCGTTTCTCCAACCGACCCATTCGTATCCTGAAACGGACAAGAAAAAGAAATGGAAAAAAAATTCGTCGTCGTTGAACAACGAAACGAAAATTCGTTTGAAAAGAATCAAAAAAAAAAAAAAAAAAAATTGGAACAAGAGTGAAAACATTCGATCAGCCTCACAGTTTTAATCCAGCCTCGTTACAATTCCACCGCACAATGTAACAAAAAAAAAAAAAAAAACAAAATGTCTTTTCATCGATCCTTCGACAATCGCGATGAATCGATGAATCAAGAAGCGTCCACCGTTCGACGCAGTGGCGCCCGATAAAAATCGAATCCGCGACTAATTCGAGTTTAACAACGTTCGCGATCGGTTGTAACACAATTGAACGGTCCACTGTTTTTTCAGTCCCGCCAGTCCATACAAATGTACGTTTTTTTTTCTCGCTTTCCGTTCCTCTCCCCCCTCTTTTTCAATATTATATTATATGCAGGTGTCCAATTTTTCTTTTTTTTTTTTTTTTTTTTTGCAAAAGAATATTTCGTTAATAGGAAAATAAAATATTCTCCTTTCAGCAATCGAAATATATTTACATAATATTCTTTATGTAAGTAAAATTTGATAAATGATCATTCTATGGAAAAAAATTTATTGCAAATTTACCCACAAGTTTAATCGAGACACATCCAAAGTATATATATTAATTCAATTCAATACTCGTACAAAATTTTATATCTAAAATAAAAAATCCTTTTTTTTTTTACATTCAATATATTAAGAATCACAGTAAACTTACTAATTCCAGTATCGCAACAAATTTCATCTCTCGACGGAATTCAAAATTATCGTAGAAACGCGTGTGCCCATCCAACGTACAAAACTTCTTTCTTCCTTTCTCCGTACCTATCCTCAGGTGCGTACATGCACACGTACGCGCATTTATTTTTCACCAACGACACGCGGAACGATGAGATTCGAGAAACGAGGGAACACTTGCATTTTCGGGATCCGAAAAAATTACTACGTGGTCGGAGGGATCCGATTGGAGGGACGCCGATAAACGGGACAATAAAATGTGTGTAACATAAATAATCGTGACGCGGAAATTTGTTTGGCTTCCGTGAACGCCGCAGGGCCCCGTTTCCCTATCAAACGAACAAATTGTTCCAACGCGAACGCGTTTGTTGCAAATTGCGCGATGTCCTTTCAACGCCGCCCAACGTGCCGCCAACCTATTTTCGACCGAACGACAGCTGGTCTTTGAATGTTGCCTTAATTAATCGCCGGCTGAACGCGAAATAGTAAGCGTTCCGTGCAATCTGCCACTCAATTCGCGCTCCTCGAATTTGAACATCTCGGCTTTAGTTCTTGGGGGAACAGTTTTCTTGTTGTTTCTTCCTTTTTGTTCATAGTCTTTTTTTTTTTACACCTCGATTTCTCGAATTATTTTACTCGTGTTAAGCCGAGTTCACGTGGAGAAAATTGTACGCAGCTTGGTTTGTTGCATTTGTTAAAATATTGTCGCGTATTACGCGAGGCGAAGATGGATTCGGTAATTTATTATGGCAATCGAGAAGGGCATCAAATTTATGATCTATGGCGGCGATTACGAGTTGGATGTTCGAAAGGGAGATTCGAAAAAATGTAAATTCAAAAATTTTTCGTAGATTGGCGCAGAAGGTGTGGGAGCGGAAAGGCAGAGCTGATAGCGCGATCGGTCCACAAATGAAAAATCTCGTTTCGAATCTCGATCTACCAATTCGATCAACCAATTCTTCCTCCTCTCCTGTGATATGTTACTGACAAGACCATTAATGGATTTGGAACGAAACGAGATCCTTTTCTCTTCCATTTTACCCTTTCCTCTAGATCGCTTCTAATTTCTAAATATTCTCGTTCCTTGTTCCATTCAAATAAGAATCTTTTGTTAAAAGTTAATTTGTTTCATTGCCGAACGAATTGAACTTTTTTACTTCAATATGAGCTCCTTGAAAAATTGTGATTTGTCTTTTGAATAAAGACCAATATTAATTTCGTTAAAAGTATTTGCAGTACTTTTTAGTAATTGCAGAAATAAAAAATTTGGAAGCAGTTAATTTGACTTGTTTCAATCCCAGTGTTAAGTAGGCCACTCCGTGTACATGTGACGAAAAAGAGAAACCAAAGGGACACGGAACGTTCTTGCTCTCAAAGTTAAGCCTTACTAACGAGTCAGCTAAAACGCCTCGCACGAAACGTCCTTGCTTCCCCTCCCAGCTTACCCAACTTTTCTCCGACCAACCCACACCTTCCTCCAATCCTAGCGCCGATTAACAATCAACCTTCGTGACTCGTCGAAAGCCTCGTCGACTCACCGTTCTCAAGTTTCAGAAACAAGCAACGTAACCGAACGAAGGCAAAAGCGCCCCCTAATTTATATTCGTCGGCTTATATACCATTCTTGCTAATTTCCTCCGATTATCCTTGTAGGCCAGCATCGATTTACTCGCCTAAAAGCACGATGAATATTAATCGCTAGACAGCGGATTTTTAGATATCTAAATCGTGTTCAAACATTCTATTAATATACAGAGAATATTATATTATATATAATGTACTTTATATAACAGCATCATTCAATTTAGGAAAATGTCTCGTAAATATCAACTTCGACTTTTCGTATAAAAAACGTGAGGAGAATCTAAAAATTTTGGGTTTAAAACTTACTCAGCAAATAGAGGAAACTATGCCATTGAAGTCACTTTTCGATTCATCCCGATATCACAATCGGTTGCCGAGATATAAGCGCTTAAAGTTTCTATAGCACTTCACAACGCGGAGACTATGAATGGATCGTGACCACGTTTCTTCTTGGAATTGCGTATTACGTCTAAGAATTGTATATGTTTTTCCAGGAATCGCGTCCGTCACTTGTCTGAAGTTTGGAATAGGTTATGAGACAAGGTACAAGCGAGGAACGCGAGAAGGATGGAAATAATAAACGATTAAAAATTACTTTTTCTTTACACGACGATATCTCTGAAACCGGAAGTCGTATCGGAATAAATCAAAAAGCATTTTAAAGGTCAAAGTTTCGCGCTTCCAACGATCTTTGACCCATTGATAGAAAATCATTATCTTCGAAGTTACAGCCGTTCAAAGTTTTCCTAATTTTAATAGGATTTTAAAGAAACTTATGCGATAGATACGTTTATCCTTGGAAAAAATATTGCTCGTAATTTTATTGTTTCGAAGATTTTTAAACTGATTTTAATTTAAATTTTGATTTTATTACCCTTTCGATGACCCGATTCCCGGCTCGAAACCTATTTTTCGGGCGTACACCTATGGATCTGGAATCCATTTAAAACGTGTCGGTGGATACGCGCCGCAAGGTTAACGAAACACGGTGAAAATGGAAGAGTTTTGGGGGATGGAGCCGCAGCGGCAGTTATTGCACGGATCATACCGTCAGATACCACGATTTCGAGCGTACACCACGAACACACCGATCCCCATGGGAAGCGCAGGGATTGAAAATGGACTGCAATAACCCTAAAGCCGGCCGCGACCGCGAGTTACACGTTCTTTTTTTTTTTTTTTTTTTTTTTTTCCAAACCCGGCTCCTCTCTTACTTTTCGCGGTCCGCTTCGAATTTCCGTTTTAACCGGACGCTGCCTGCGGTCTCCCCAACGAACTTTCGTCCGCGCGCGATTTTCCAAATTCCACCCGAGTTCGCTCACGAGATGAATTCTGCGAGAAGTTTCCATCTGACCTAAAAAAATAATTTCTTTAGAAAGAGAAAAATTTCAGATGCTATCATATCCTATTAATTAAAATAATCAATTTTCCATCGAGTCGAGTTAATTATCGTCAATTATTTTTGCTAAACGTTCGTTGCTTTTTTAAATTTTAAAACGAATAAAATGTCGTTTAAAATGTCATCTCAATTTTTCATACATAATTTCTCAACTTATAGATCTCGATTGTCGAGAGCTATAAGTAAATTTTAAAAGTCTCTACTAGATTATTATTTTCATTATTCACGCGAAAGGGAGATCCCAAACAGGGGAGCGAAAGAATTCTATTTTCGCATGTAAAAGTATTTTCGATGTAAAAGAAATGAGTCGAGCTTTACTACTATATAGGTGTTAAAAGTTATTAAAAGTTAAAAAGTTTCGTTTCAATTCGGTATCGATGGGCAGCTTCGCTCGAATTTTCCTTCCAACCTCTCCCTCCTTCCTCCATCCCTCCCGACAATGTTCTCCCGACCCGTACACCGGTATTATATCGCTCTGATCTATCCGCCTTCGTATAAACCCCACCCTTAATATCGTCCCTCGAGTAAATAGTTTCCAGTTTCCTGTCGTCGCCGCCTTCGACCGCTATCTACCATCAATTCTGAACATTCAGAGGGGTCGTAAGATAACCGCCGTGCTCATGGATATATACTGCGCCGTGAACTCTCCGCAGCACGATGATTTTCTCACTTAAACCGTCCTCAAACTACACGATCGAGCGTATGCCGGCCGTAAAACGGTACACGTAACGATATTCGCGTGTTATCGATTTGTAAGGCGAATTTATACGAGGCAAATGAGGAGGGAACGTATCGTTACGATTCTTCCTAAATAATGAAAATGATCGAATGAATTTTTAATGTCGCGTGATACAGTATTTTTGTTTTTAACAAATAATTGTTAATAAGCATTGTTTTTCCTTATGATGACAGATGGGTAGATTTTTCTCATTCTTTAAAAAAGATTTGACGTTCGAAAAGAATATTCCTTCTCTTTTTTACGAAATCGATAGAGATATTAGTTGACGTCGAACTGCGATCGTGAAAATCGAGTTTTCAAAACTGATCGTACGAAAAAAAAATTTGTTAATTCTGGGATTGGATAGAAGGGGGAGGAAATGAACTATCGATAGAGAATTATGCGAAATGAAATGGAAAATTTTTTCATTTCCGTATTAGCTTTTTTTTTTTTACGAAATAAAATTTCGATACATATTCGAGTACACGAATACCCGATTACTTCTATTCAATTTCCATTCTTTTTTTTTTTTTTTTTTTTCCCCGGTTAAAAAACAGAACGGAATTTGAAAATGCAATTTTTACTCCGCACTCTTTATTTATTTTCGTACGTGGAATCCTTCGTATCCCCATTCAGAGTTGAGAATTCTTCTACATTTGACAAGTTTTCAAACTCGATTTCCACGAAAACGAATTCTCACACGAGAAAATGTTATTCCTTCTTTTCAACTTATCTCTACATGTAGAATCACACTCAATTTTGATTGCACCACCAAGAACCACTGGAAACTATTTCCAGAAACTACCTCGAGTTCCAGAAACTCGATATATTTAAAAAAGAAAAAAGAAATCCGACTCGATAAATTGATTTACTTTTAATAACCACCACCAATTAAAATATTTAACCCATCATAATCACCATGAAAATGAATCAATGAAAAACCGGAAAGATAACAAGTTCGCCGAATAAACGGATTACTCTTTTCGATAATTTTATCGTCGATAAAAAAAAAAAAAATTCAATTCCTCTCATAAAAATTCGCATCGAAGCGCCGCCTAACTTTGTACGAAAGAGGGCCGTACGTACCTTCGCAAATGGTAACAAGTTGCGATTCGTTTTTCAGAAACAATTTACCAAGAAAATTTATTAATTCGAGGGGGGAGGGAAATGGCGGGGAGAGGGAGCAATATTGGAATCAGAAACGGCCCCCGTCCTCGCCTTCACGTTTGCTAAACTGCAATCCGAAAGTTATTACCTAATGACCTAATTACATCACTCCGCGATGACGTTTCCCGCTTCTCCCGATTCCAATCCAAAAGTGGAAACTTATTAACGAGGATGGAATGCGACGAGGGAGCATCGACGTTAAGGAAAGTTTGTCCAACTTCGCGGGGACAACTTACGTAGCTTCTTTCCTTCAAATTCGAAGGAACGGACGAGGGAGATATTAGATTGGCCTAAAAAATTTATTTCTCTTAATTAGAGAAATGCGTACGGCCTCGTTTATTTCCCCAAGTTCACTTCTTCTCTAATTGGTTGACAATTATCGATTATTTCTCACGATCACGGTTGTATGGAATAATTCTGGGTAAAGGAATTGATGCTTCTTGATCGTTTCTCGAATAAATTGTCATTTTCGAGAATAGGATAGCGGAAATTTTTGAAGAAAGTTTGTCCAACTTTGCGGGGACGTAGCTTCTTTCCTCAGATTCGAAGGAACGGACGAGGGAGATATTAGATTGGCCTAAAAAATTTATTTCTCTTAATTAGAGAAATACGTACGTATAGAATAATTCTGGGTAAAGGAATTGATGCTTCTTGATCTTTTCTCGAATAAATTGTCATTTTCGAGAATAGTATAGCGGAAATTTTTGATTCTAAGATTTTCTGCATAAAATAGTACACGTAGTTAGAATTTGATGAAAAATCTTCCTCTCGAAATCACTCGACCATAACCTGAAACATTTTTCGTTAGAAAAAAGTCACAATTTTCTGAATAATCGAAAAAGCGAATTTTATCTACCGCCACGCCTTGCTACACAATTTTCGTAAAATTGCACGAATAAAATGAAACATCATTCGCCAATTCGATCATTCGTTCCCGGAAAAGTGATATCGAAGAAATAAATTCCAAGAAGAAAAATAACGGGCAATCCTTGTACAGGATAAAAAAAGATAGAGAGAGAGAGAGAGAACTTCCGAACCCTCGTATTTTCACGAGTCTTTCACAAAAATAGAAATAGGGATGCAGCTGCACGATGAAGGAGGAGTAGGAACGATCCGGTCCTCCACGATTCCAGGAATGGGACGAAGGTTTTAAACAGGGAATAAAGAAGGAGGGAAGGATTGGTGCACGCAGTCTCGACGGGTTTAAAAGTTTAAGAAGCTGAAAGTACGTAAGCTCCCCCCTCCCGTCCCGTAAATGGAAAGACACAAATGTATCCTGGGAGCCGGTAAACAGCAGTCGTGGCTCGCAGTCTAGGCCGCGGTTCAATATAAATGTAAATTGGAACAGATTCGAGTGTGGAGCGGAACACGGAGGGGTCCAACCGACCTTATATATATACCTCGAAGCCCAGCATCTTGGAATTCTCTTATCACTATCGAGGATAGGTCTACCCTACACCTGGAATCGACGCGGGGGAAAATTTTATTCGCCGTCCAAACCGATGGAATCTGACCCGTCGAGGGCTTTTGTTGACGTAGCTCGTAGTAGAGTCGTTCGAATTACTTTCGATCTTCTGCTTATAAAATTGAAGATCGAAGCGCGAAAGGGAGGGAGAATTTTTTAAGGAAGAAATTCTTCTCGTTCTTTTCGCGATTTTTTTTTATTATTGAAAAATATAATCGGGTTCTTCTTATTGTGTATATTTCAGCCAGGATTCGCGAAATCCTGGAAGTTGAACGATATTGAAGAATATTATAAGTAGTTTGTTTAATTAGAATTTTCAAAGTGTGAGCAGAAAAAGTACAGAATAATCTTTCTTTCTATCTCAATTTCTTTGTTATTCTTACGTTGTTGAAGGTATGGTTTACATTCGCGGTTCGATCCAGGATCCAGGCGAATTTAATTCCGCCAATGAAACGAATAAAGAGAAATTTACAATTGAGATTTAATAACACTCGAGAAAACAGGGTTGAAGGAATATTGTTAATTCCCCGGGAAAAAGCCAAATAATACCAATTGAACCTGTTGGCTCGAAACGATCCTGTTTCCTTTCTACCCCCTTGCACAACATTTACCTTTCTTCCTCCTTCTTATTAGCTCCCGCCGTCAAGCCGAATTTCAACGATCCTCTTTTACGCGTAACTTCAGAAGAAATACGAAAAAGGAAAAAGAAAGGTAAAAGAGAGGAATAAAAAAGACAAAAAAGAAAAAAAGAAAAAAAAAGAAAAGATCCGAAACGAAACAACGCTACGAGAGAGGAGAATAAGCGAGAAGAGAAAGATTCGAAAAGAAGAGCGAGCGAAACGAAAAAAAAGAAAAAGCAATGACAAGGAAAAAGACTCGAGGAAACAGCCCATTAACGAAGAAAAAGAAAGAGAGAGAAAGAGAGAGCAAAAAAAAAAAGAAGATAAAGATTCGAGAAAACGAGAACGAAAAAGAAAAAAAGAAGAAAGGCGGGGGAAAAACGATGCAATAAGCAAAGAACGAAGAACGATAGATAACTCGTGAAACGAGGATGGAACGGTAAGACGGTTCTATCGCGCTAATCTGGACACGATCAGAGGGAGAGGGGAGGGGAGGGTGTAGCGTTAATCTCGTTCGAGGCAAACTCACCTTTCCCGTTACCACTGTCCAATCTGAAGTTGTCAGGGCCCTTTTGCCCGTCGACAAGTTGACCGAGCCCCCCGGAGAGGTAACCTCCTTCTTCCCTGCCGTCGTACGTCCTGTCGGAAAGGTCAACCTCCGAGCCCCTCTTAATTCCTTGGGGCATGGAATACGACACCAGACCCTCTGCAACCAGAACAAAAAAGGGGTTGCAACAACAGGGGTATATTGCGAGTGTTGGCTCGTGAATCCATGTATCGTCAGGAGGACGTTTCAGACATTTTCTTTATAAATCGCTTTATAAATCGTGATAAGATTACGGCTCGTTGAACGGAACGTACGTAATAAGGAGAGAGAGGGAGAGAGAGAGAGAGAGAGGAAAGTTTTTTCGAATCTGGACAACGGTAGCTTCTTCTGAGAATTTTTGAAACCGTCGCCGTTTGTTCGACTTTTTTCTCGACTTATCGTTATTGAGATGAAATCGAAATAATGAAATTAAGTAATGGATAAAATTTCTCGTAATTGCGTACGTCTAATGAATTCTGATTTGTCGAATGTCGATCTAAATGGTCGAGAAATTTTAAACAAGGTAAGTGGATCGTATGTTATTGGACGGATTGAACAGATTGGATTGATTTAAGGAAAATTTTATATTCGTTTAATGACAGTTTAAAGCTTCGTGTGAGTGATATTAAACGAATGAATTCATCCCTTTTTTTTTGTACCCGTTAATCGTTCAACAATTATTGACAGCTTAAGTTTTTAAAATTAATAAACCAGTATTGTAATATTGATCGAATTCTTGAATCGAAGACGATCGATTTTAAGCCGCGAATCGTACGAAAATAAAAGATATAGAGATAAATATAGAGATATTTGACACTTGACGGATTGAAAGTTTACAAATAAGGTAATAATTGGCGAGTGGATTAAAAGCTCGATTTAATTTAATAATCGATTCAAAAGAGATAAAAATCCATTTCTCTACTTATTAGCTCAATCCGATTTCCTAATTTAAAAAGCTTTTATTGAAGAGATCAGGAGAAATTGAATAATTTAATCTTTGCACGTCCTCATCAACGCGTCAACGCTCCACTAAATCCTGGTGTTTCTCACGATACGTACGGAGAAATTTTTATTCGAAGACACGGAGAAATGGACAGATGTCGATATGGAAGAAAGACACGGCACAAGTTTCGATGGCGACGCGCGAAAAATAACGAAATGCATTCTTAATGTTCGGCTGGAACGAATATCGGAGCCGAGAATTGGAAAGAAACGAGATTAAAAGCTCGACAGTATTAACCATTAGCGAAAAAAGAAAAAAAAATATATATATATATAATCATAATTAACAAATGGAATAAAAATGCAACATTTTATATTCGATTAAAATCTCAAAAAACCCTATCAAAGATGTAAAAATAATTCGATATACTTCGATTACATCTCAACGAAAAGTTCTTAAATTATAATTCTATCTTGGACGATTCCGAAAAATTCATTATTTCGAAATCATGGAACGGTGTCGAAAATTAAAAAATTAAAAAAAAAAAAAAATGTAGTAAAAGAAATTGTGTTAAATCATGGCTCGTATGTTCAATTAGCTATTAATTCGAATAAATTCTTTATTACGAGGATTACATTTTTTCTAACTTATTTTCCGTTGCAGATATCCCATTAAAAAATAAAGTAGTGAAATGGCAGCGATTTCGTTTTTTTTTTTATTCCTTTGTTTTCCGATAAAACGGCGCGATAAATTCCGAGCGCAATAAAAATACCGTATCTATATTTATCATGGTGTTGTTTCGCTTTATACCGCGAGGCGAACAAAAGGGGTGAGAAAAAAAAAATGAGCCAAGAAATATATATATATAAATACTCACGTATACGTACAGGTGCACGCGTGTAGAGAGAGACACGATTGCAGTAATTTCAACTACACAATCACCGTCGGGGCATATATGGAAAATATTTTTGTTCTTGTTACAGTAATTGCACCACCGGCTGCCACCGAAATTGAATACGGCGCAGTCGTTTACGGTGATGCTGTTTTTCACCGGTAACGACGCCCCCAATGAAAATATCGTTCACTTGATAATTCGAACCACTTTTTTAACCGTCTGCCGTCCTATCATTCAACCACGCGCGCGGTCGATAAAGGGGGATCGATAATGGGAATAATGGGATATAGCAATGTTTACCAATTGCTTTTTCCACTCGCGGGAATGAAAAAGCGAGAGAAATAATAATAGGAAGAGAGGAAATGTCAGAAATTTTAAAAGACGACGCGATGAAATTTGATTTTTGATAACTGGGTTTGAGAATTCTTGATTCGAATATATACAGATTTAAATTTCCTTTCAATTCCTCAAATGTAAAACTTTTTGGAATTCAGATTGATAGTTAATTTTGATTAACTCGGATATATTAGATCTCAAATGAATCATCCGAGTATTTAACGTAAGATAACAATAAAATAAGATTTTTAATTTGGAATTTAATCTACCAATTAAGAAAAAGATAGAAAGTTTCACAAATGCAAATCTACATCACTGTGACCGACGACTCAAATTGGGGCCCCGTTCGTTGGGGCCCAGTTGCGGTACAAATCGCTCCAGGGCAATAATCACGAACATTGGAGTTCTCGAGAATCCTTTCAAGAGGGTTCAGATTAACGCAACACACCTGTACACCCGATCGATCGATCGAGCTCGTAAATCTTCCCCCGTAATGCGGCTCCCTTCAACTCGAAACCGGGAATCTTTCCGAGCTTATAAGAAACTGATAGGATAAAGGGTGCCCACGAGACCTTGATGTACCTCCGTTTCTCATGTTATTCCATTGCCACGTCGTTTAAACCAATTTCGCGAATAAGATCCTCCTTTCGTTTCGTATTCAAACTCTTTTAATTTAATTGCAGAGTTGATCGTTACCTGAATTAATTAATTCAGTTAAAATTTCGTAGAATAAAATTACTGTAAATAACAACTTTATTTAAAACTTACTGAAATAATAAATTTACTCCTAATTACTATTCTATTATTTTCCACAATTATCTGCAGTTATTCGATGCTTTGAATAATAAATTATTCGAGTGACTTGATTCTTAATGTCAAAATTTTTTACTCCATCTCTGATTTTTCGTCTCGATGGAAAGACGACGGAATTACGATAAACCGGAAACGAACATAGCGCGGGAAATACGTCGTCTCGTGCGCACCTCTCCGTCGGTAAGAAGTTCCTTCTCCTCCTCCTGCTCCTCTTCCACCGATTCGATAAAAAGAAAAGTACCAACGTGATAAAAATGCTGGAAATCTTTGGCGGCGTTCTTTTCAATATTTAGGGTTGGACACGTATGAGAGGGGGAGACGTAGGAGGCGGTTATAAATATCACTCACCGGTCCATGGACAGCCGTAAAGCTCGACTCGTATGCACACCATACGCATGTGGGAGGTGTAGGGGATGAAACGGACCTTGGTTGCGACGATCGCCGGGTCGAACAGCTGCTCCTTCTCCGAATATGGATTATTGTTGCCTGCCAGAAGCTGGAAATGAAATTTCAAAGTTATCTTATATGTTTTTCATACTAACAAATATACTAATAAATTTTTTATAATAATAAATACCCGACCAAATTTGAAGAAAAAGAATAATCAACGACTCTAATTACATCCTTCCTCGATCCTTATATATCTCACAAAGATATAGAATCTTCTAATTCCAATATTTTTTCGTCAGAATATCAAATCAATCGAATCGAATAATAGATAATAACAGTTGTAATAAATGTGAAAAAGGCATATCGTACACGTATACGTGTTCACGAACGTTCGACGAATCTCATTTTCCGGATTAACGAACAACGCCTCGAAAATCCCCTCTAAATGTAAATTTCCCCATTAAATCTGTAACGAGAAGAAGCCGTTGGAATTTGTTGTTGTTGTTGTTCCTTTCTCATTCCGAGAGCCGATCCCTCCTTGTTCCTACTCCTTGATCCCGATCCGTCACGAACAATGCCGTTCGAAGAATAAAATCGAGACATAAACTTTCGTACATTTCGTAGGGAGTCAAATCGCGAGCGAAACGGACGAACACGAGCATAGAATAAATAAATGTGTAACGCCTATTTGCGATGGTGGCGTGCAAACGTGCTCGCGCACAATTTCGATTTTCGTTTGCCTTTCCACTCGGATTAGGATCTCTCTCTCTCTCTCTCTCTCTAACGGGGGCCCGATCCGTTATCCGATACGAAAAATACAGAAATCTGATACATCTGACGTTTCCTGGGGGGTGAAAATCAAGGCGGATTCGGATGATTGTATATTATTTTACGGCTGGGGGAGGGGAGGGAGGAACGTAACGGGATATACGTATATGAATATTCCTCTCTTTCTCCGCTGCTTTGATCTCGTATCCGCTACGGTATTCATCGCGGTGTTGTTGATTTAACGCGATCCTAGCCCGGCTTGATATTCGACGAATATTCTCCGTCGTGCTCTCTCCGCTGTTATAAGAAACTGGAATTAGATACTTTCCGCGTAAAGCTTCGTTTTATGTATTAACAGAAACGTTGGTTGGTTGGTAAGAAGCGTTGGTTGGTTGGCAGTTATTGATCTTGGAAAAACTTTACCACGAGTCTTGAGAAGCTTTATCCCCGCGTCTTATCTCGCGACGATAAATTTCGACAGAAAAAAGACTGGGTACAGATTGATTCAGAGTGGAATGTTACTTTTATTATTTCGTTGATTCTTCGATCGTTGAAACTTTTTATTAGAAATATCGAAGATCTGTCTTTGAGTTTCTGCGATTAAAAAAAAAAATATATATATATTGATTATTCTATTTATTTTCGTATTAATATTAGCTGCACAACTTCATCCATATTTTAGTCTTGTAATATCAAACACGAATATTCTTCCCCCAAACGCACGGCTCGATTTCACTCTACTCCGACTTGTTTCACCGATTTTTCCACTTTCTCGCTCGATGAATATTTTAAAGATCGACGCCACTTTTGGGGGAAAAAAATTCGCTCTCCTTCGAACCACTTTTTCGCGTATCAATGACGATATTTATATATAAGTTTTATATACAGGATGACACGGTGTCTGTCTGTGAAAGGCAAGATTTTCGCCAAGATTTTATTAGAAATATCGAAGATCTGTCTTTGGACCTCTGTGATTAAAAAAAAAATATATATATATTGATTATTCTATTTATTTTCGTATTAATATTAGCTGCACAACTTCATCCATATTTTAATCTTGTAATATCAAACACGAATATTCTTCCCCCAAACGCACGACTCGATTTCACTCTACTCCGTTTCACCGATTTTTCCACTTTCTCGCTCGATGAATATTTTAAAGATCGACGCCACTTTTGGGGGAAAAAAATTCGCTCTCCTTCGAACCACTTTTTCGCGTATCAATAACGATATTTATATATAAGTTATGTACAGGATGACACGGTGTCTGTCTGTGAAAGGCAAGATTTTCGCCAAGATTTTTCGCAAGGATCGAATCGAGCGTGGTGCATTGCCGGCATCTTGGCTGATATATTAAATGGATTCGTGCCGTTTCCATGAAATCCGTGCATCTTTCGTAGTCGTCGTCGAGGAGGACGACGAACGAGAAGGAAAACTCGGCACCATTTTCGCCCCGTTTCATCCTTGGTGTCCGATCATCGACGACAAAGCTGCGATCGCAAAACTACTACTAGCTCAGTTCAGGGAAAATTGTGGATCGTTGAGGACGATAGTCATGGAAATGCTGAAACATTGCTGACTACGTATCGCTATCGTTTCTACGGATTTGAAATTTGAAAGACGATATCGAATTCGGATTTGGAGGAGAAAAGAAGAGGAATAGGAGACGATTTTCTATGAGAAGTAAACTGAGGATAAATTTCGTTTGGAGAATGGAATTTTGCGTTACGATGAAAATAAGAATTCTTACTTAAAGGATAAATTATAATGTTAATTCGAATTTCATGGTTAATTTTGAGAAATAAGAAAATTGCGTATTAATGGACGAAGGTCAATGAGCTAAAGGATCTATATAAAAGGTTTGATACAAAGAATGGTTGAACAAATGGTTGAAAATTAAACACCAGTTAATGAATGAATATTTAAGATACCGGAGGAAGTGAAACTCGATGTCGATAACTGCAGGTTCGGACACGAAGTCCACGACAGGGGGTCACGAGATCCAATATCGAGCCACTTGGGTCGAGAAAGCCGATGAACTCAGGGTCATGGCGATCTAATAACGACTATTTCCGTTTGGAAATAGATTCTAACGATTACGAGATTACGTTAAAAATGATCTACCCTGAAACTTGAAGGAAAAATCAAATTTTTACCCGAACTTATCGCAGTTATCCTTCAAATTTTTCGAATTTATTCAATCGATCTCCTGACTTTCAAATACTTATCTCGCTTTTGGAAGTACTTGAAGATTCGAAAAATCGTTATCGTTTGGAAATGAATATCAGCCGATCGATCGATTGCAGCATGGAAAACAAGCATTGTAATCGATCGTCTATTTCCAGATAATATCAAAAACCTCTTACAAACAATTTCTGTCCAACCTCTTTCAATATTCATTACCATAATTCATTTACCTAACAAAATCGACCAAATTTTCCACTGTTCTTAACAATTTAAAATCTCAAATCTATCTATCTAAATTTGAATCTTCTTCGAAGAGAATTTGATTCTTCCTCGAACTATTCAAACCCACAAACGAGTTCCCTTTCCAATCTCTCATATCCACTTACACACTCTTACACACGTGTCAGACAATTTAAAAGATTCCGTATCATTATCACGAATGAATTGGAACTCCTCTCAAAAACTCAGCTCTTCAACGAACGAGCATGCCAACAAACGCCAAAAAAATTCCTATCCAATCTCTCGATATCCACTTACCACTTACATTCACTTCCAACAACACCAATTTCCACCCTCGCAAACATACAATTTCCCCCTTGTATCTTGTATCAGAGGACCGAGATCAGAGGACTGGGTTGCGCTACTTGCGAATCAATCGGCCATTGAATTGGTAGCGCGGCGCTGGTAGCGAGGCCGTTGCTCTGACGCGGACTTAATACAGCAAAGGGTAGAGCAGAGGAGGTATATATGCCGGGGTAAGCTCTGAAACGGGCCAGCGAGTTGTAAACGGCACGCAAATGGAACGCGCCCTCCCCTCCCCTCCCTCCTCCTCCTCCTTTAAATCGTTTGCGCGTAGCACGAAGGTTATATCGGCCAGCCGTGGATACGGACCGACCACGGATGCATTACAACTGCATGCAACTACCACCGGTGGCGGGAATAGAAACGGTCCGGGAATGGCACTGCCGTGTATACGCGATACGAATAATTAATACAGCCGTAAACAAGATGGCGGCGGGGGATGGAAGCGATATCGTCTCGCTCGATAAAATTGATATCCGTGCTCGAAGGAGGGAGGATGGATCATTCTCCGAGGGGAGACCGATGTATGTACGCCGATCCACTCGGATGGATCGGCCCGCGTTGTTGTTGGTGTAGGGTGGCAATCGCGAAGGAGATTCGCTCTGTGATGTATACGTATGTAAGGGTTATTTATCGCGTATGGCTGAGTAAACGGCGTTACGCATTGGTTAGTGGAAAGAGGCGTTGAAGAATTTTTGTGCTCGAAAAATTAAATATGTAGAATCCTGAATTCTAAATGAAAAATAGTTAATTATCTTAAAGGTACAAAAAATATGACTTAAATTTTACGATCTCTATATTTCTTCTTACTGCAAACCTTTTCGAACCATCTCAAACCAACGCAAAGAAAAATATCTCATAATTTACGAGCATACGAAAAATCTTGAGAAATATTCATTTCTCTATTTCAACGAAATTTATTCCCGATCGAAAGTTAATAGTAATTGTTAATAATCGTTGTGAAATATATTCAATTGTAATGAGCTGAATCTGTTTGAATCTTTAAAGAATTGAAGAAGAATTGAATTGTTGATCGGGTTATAATTTAGCGATAGGTTCTTGTTGGAAAGAATTTATGCAAATTGGTATAATAAAGTGTTTTTTCTCTCTCTCTCTTTCTCTTGTTCCAGCGTTTCTTCGTTATCGTGGAAAGAATATCTGGGTGGAACATTGGATCGATAGAACACAACGCGTTTTTCTATCAGATCGTAACATAAGAAAAAGGATCAGAAAAGTTTCGACGATACATTCACGATTTTATTAGCTACGTGTTTCTTGTTGGGTGGGACACAATGTAGGAAATCTGGTGTTTCCTTATTTACAGTAACTCAACCTTTATCCCCTTCGGTAAGAAAATCCTTCTTGCCTAATAAACCTCTAGCATTTACGATACGTTTCTGGCTAAGCTTTATCCAATATCAAATTTCAAAATTACGCCATCACGAAGATCATCGACCGTGTTAAAATTGTGAAATGAGATTCCATGTTATGAATGAACATGGAATTTTACAATCTTCGAGTTAACTATAACAGATATCCAACAAAAAGTACATAACCTCACTTTTCAAT